CAGACAGGACTATGGTGTTTGCTAATACCGTTGAGGCGGTTGAAGCAGTAGCCGATATATTGGAGAAAGCTAGTATCAAGTGTTATCGTTATCACAAGAACCACACTTTAGAAGAACGTGCTAATATATTAGCTGATTTCAGAGAAAACGGTGGTGTCTTTGTTTGCACTGATGCTGCTGCTCGTGGAGTTGATGTTCCTAACATCTCACATGTTATTCAGGTTGCTTTTCTAATCTCAACTCACACCCGCTTCAAAGTACTCAACTCTCTAAACCCATTGTGAAATTCTCGGTGTGATTGCAGGCGGATTTCTCTAGTTCTGCAGTGGATTTCCTTCACAGGATAGGTCGAACAGCTAGAGCTGGGCAATATGGAACAGTGACCAGTCTATACACCGAGGCTAACCGTGATTTAGTGGAAGCAATCCGCCAAGCAGTGAAGACGGGTCAGCCAGTGGTATAAATTCAATCAAACTCCCACGATTTCAATTTGTTTTTATCATCATCAGTAGAAGGAATCTACCTACTAGTGCAATAGCCATACCATATTCCTTCTGGTGATTCATTCTTGTGTTATGCAGGAAACTGCATTCAGCAGGAAAAGAGGTTTCAGGAACAAGCTTAAGAAGAGAGGTAAAAGACTAAAATCCATACAGATGCAATACAAAACATTGAGAAAAGAGAAGCTAATAAAAAGCATTGTGTTTACTGTTTCAGCTTTTTTGAAAGCTGGAGAGGCAGAGGAGCTTCAAGCTGTGTGAGAGTTTAAGGAGTACTCACTGATTATGATTTTATAATATCTGTTTGTTTTTCAATTCCATAGGCATTGCTGTGTACAGAACTACCGCAAAATAAAATAATGACTTTAATATTTTTGTTTCCTCAATTTTCAGAAGTTTAGATTAGTTATTTTATCTGAAGGACCAATATCTGAGACAATTTTTTTGAAAAACTGTTGAAATAATTGTGATTGGTAACGTTGTATTGCTGCGGTAAATTTGTACTACCTCAAATGATTTAGGGTAGTATAACCATCCTCGGGAAATCATTTGGTACATCCAAATCAGCTAAGTGTTAGTAAGCAAGGGTGGATTTGAAAGAATGTGTAATTTTTTGAATAGGGAAATAG